AATAGATGGCATCCGCGAAAGACGCAGTAATTTAGCCAATTACTAAGCCTTATATTTTTAAACAAAATATTTAAAGAATTTAGTTTCTGCTACTTTCAGTATCAAAGAAATCAATCAAATAAAGAGTTCGTTTAATACAATTTGAATGTGTAGTTGATTATCAGAATCTTATGATGAAAGTTATGCGAAAAAGATTTAATATATATTCTTTAGGCAATTTTTTTAGATGAAAAGATGATATATTTTGTTTATGACGCAGCAATTTCAAAAATCGTAGTAGCATGTGAAATGTAATAAGTTGCAAAAATTATTAGTAATTAATGTAACACGCTGCTTTCCCAATTTCGAATATATTTAAGTTTTTGTTTTTTATTTTGTAATTAAGTAAATATGTAATAAGATTTAAAGGAATGTTTTTTTCTCTTTTCCAAAAAAAAAAAAAATGATTGTTAATATATTTTATTGTTTCCTTACTATGGGCTCGGTTCATTTCATTGACAATCATTTCACCAATCATCGATAGGAACATTTATCCAACAAGGTCGTTCATCAAATATTCGACAATAATGTTATATAAATTTTTATGTAATCTATGTAATTCAGCATTTACCATGTTCGAAATCATAATTAGCTAAGATGGTTTGATATACGAAGTGTCATTGATATTTAAACCAAATACTAGTATAATAATGGCACTATTAGACTATATTTGGTTTCAAATCATCCAATAATAATAATATTAAATATTATTGGCAATTTTTATAATAAATTCCCTTGAAAGATTTTCATATCCCGATATATCGTCATAACGGAGTTTGAATAAATTCCCAAAGTTATGTTTATATACACAAATATATAATTATATAATTTGTATCAACTCATCTTATTTGTTTCTAACAGTTTCCTCTCTTTTTTACTGTGAAGGTTGAAGAATTGTTATATATTAAACATCATAATAATTATTTCTTAATAAAATTTAGTAGAAATATTTAAACGTAGCATATGCGCAGAAATAAGATTATAGGATAAATCGCCGGGCAAATTCTGAAAATTCTAACCATGGAAATTCCTTGCCCCCATTTATTTCAAATGAATCCAAGTTCCAAGTTATTGGAAATAAATAAAACGAAAAAAAAAGTCTTGAGAAATCACAAAAGTACAAAAGAACAGTCGAACAAATCAATACAATCATGCGATATATAAAAAATCACATTTATTAATGTATATTATAAATTTTTTTTTTTTTTTGATAAAAAAAAAACACAAAATAAAGCCACTCGTATCAGAAATATATAATATAATAATTAAAATTCTTTTGTTTAACTTATTTAATCATATTAACTTTTTTTATCATATGTAAAGATCATATGTAAATGTTTATATCGATAAGATTATTAATCATAAATAAACTAAAGTTTTGTAACATGTACGTGTCTTTCCTTTAGAAGTCCAGAAATAGAGAAAAATTATGGGTACTTGGAAGAAAAGGGGAATGGGAACTCACGGAAAAACCAAAATAAGTTAGGAATGAAAATTTCTTTGATAAAAGAATATGGAATCCTTCCCCATTTGGGGGAAATCATAGGAATAATCTCTTCCGAATCCGATAAACAAAAAAAAATACAATTAAAGAAAAACAATAAATATTTTTTGAATGTAAATATTAAACTGGTTTTGCAATTAAATGAACCACTCATATACTGTATCAATAATATAAAAAGAAACCAACAGGGCATAGTCCGATATGTGAAGATATGTAAGATTATTGCGTGGTTACCAAATAATACTACTCTCATTTTATTGTTATTACGAATTATGTTTTATCGGACGCGAGATCTTTTATTGTATTATTTTATTTTGTATCCAAATTGGTATTACTCATTTGCTTTATTCATTTATCCAAATTTATATAAAGATTAAGTTTTAATAAAATAAATTATTTATATATAATAATATATACGTATTGTATATGTATATAATGTTAGAATATATATATTTTCTTCTCTCATGCTAAAATTAGAGTCACAGTACGCGTTAGTGACACCATCAATAATAATTCATTCCTAATTCGTTACGCCTATCAACTTTATCAACTTATATCTATTTTTTATCACATTTTATTACATTTATCACTCAGTTATTTTAAATAATAATAATAATAATAATAACAAAGATAACAATTAGTCATGATTTCAATAAATTAAACAGGATGATTTTTTAAATGATAGTGAAACAGATTTAAAATATACAAGAATGTTCTTTTGCAGCAATGGATGATATTACTCTAATAATATATATTTTATATAATAGATTTAGATTATAATAATAAATTCGGAAGAAGATTTTACTTTTTTAGGTTTTTCTAACTGCAAATTGAAATTATATAAATTACCTATAAAATTGAAAAAAAAATTTGCACTTTTTTAAAATGGATCCCGTTTGCGACGATCTCTCAATACTTTTTTTATTTCATCTGACCATTTCAACATCTTACCTTGATTTGATAGCATAAATTTTGTGCGTCCATAATGTTTTCTTTCATGACAACATGAAACACTTTTTGAACACTTTTGAACTGGCCACCGCAGCAAAATGATCGCCAAATGAAACATTCGTGGACAAGGAGATTAACAAAGAAATAATAAGTCCTTAACAAGATTAGAATTTTCCGATGCAATTTTAATGTTGCAGTAATTCAAAATTTTACTTTTAAACATGTATTATACCCAAATATAGAGTATAAATTCTTATTTCATGTCATGTCTATCTTTCATCACGTAATATAATCAACTGTATTTTTACGTTTTAAAATTATTAAATCTTTCTTTGTTATCTTCTTATAGTAGTTACAAGGTGCCATTAATTAATTAGAAATATGATTCTAAATCATGTCGATTGATTGGTTTTTAATAAAGTTTTCGTAAAATGTTTGTTACTTAATTCTTTAAATTTTATAAACACATCATAACATTAACGCACGTTAATATTATTATTTTATTATAATATTTTTCTTTCTATCTCTAATTAATCTTGTAAAACAGACAAAGTATTTTGAAAGTTTCGGGTAAATTTCATTCCATTACAATATCTTCATTTATTTATTTTGGTCATCAACAAACGTATCTCATAAACTTGGTATCAATACGTTTTAATTGATATTATCATCAATTTAAATTTGTTCAATAAGAGGAGATATATCAAATATTGTTGTTACATAATTGATTCGGAATCGATTCGAAGAAATCTTTATGTATTTCAATCGGTACTTCTTTTTTTTTTTTGAGATCAATTAATCATGTGACATTAAAATTTTATTTTATTAGCGTATTTCATTAGTTATCAGTTATGGTATATTAAAATTACAGTAATTTTTAAGGATATTACGTAAAAATTATTATGAATATAAATATTTATTTACATCAGTTTTAGATAATAAAATAACAAAGGGAGTATAAAGAGAATTTTTCTATAAATTTTATGAATTTATAAACTTTCAAAAATTTCATTAAAGAATATAAAATAAGAAATATAATTAATATATATATCTATACTTTTTTGATATATTCTTTATAATAGAATGAGCCAACGAAATGACATTACAGTATGAAGATGATCATGTGATTATCGATTAATTCTTAATATATCTCATATAGTCATTATTATTTATACATTAGCATATATTATTGGATATTTAAATTTAAACAGTTAAAACGAAAAAGCAGAAACTCAAGGAGTTTCAGTCTAAGAAAAAAAAATACTTACCAACGGGATCTTAGATCTTCGTCTAGGGTCTTTGTCAAAAAAAAATCACAGTTTTGGCAACAAAATCTGATTGTTTGAGATAAAATATGACTTATGAGATCTAATAACTTAATACCTCAGTTTATTTTTGATTAAGAAGTGGATGTATAGATACAATAAATCAAAAAACGCAGGAGTGATTACAAGAATTTCGCTTTGTCTGAGATTAAAAAGTAAACTAATACTACCGGCCCAATGATTTACGAGAATATATACTTTTTCTAATAACAGCTCTTGTGCGCTATAAGACCGTTATTTGATTCTTTGAAATTATTTCAGTTTTTTTTATTACATATTTTACCTGATCATTATCAAAATTTATTTAGAGTTCTCTAAATTATTTAAATAAATTTAATAAATTTGTGGAAAATCATCATGTATCATATCAGTCAACCATAACGTAAAAATGCACGTGAGATGATTCGAAATATTCACGTGATCAAGAAAATTTTCCAATATTCGCGTTCTAAAACAAACGAAGTTTCGGGATCCTTTTTTATTACTTTTATTTAAACATTATTAAAGAGATTAATATTATAAACCCAGTTTTCATGAGAAACCATTTTTGATTAAAGAACTTTTATTTTATAAATAAATCAATCAAAGGATATTGTTCGTGGCTGAGGCCCGGCTAGCTCAATCGGTAGAGCGTGAGACTCTTACGAGAACCATCGTAATCTCAAGGTTGGGGGTTCGATCCCCCCGTTGGGCGTTCCGAAATCTTGATTTTTTTTTTTACACGTACTTTACGAAGCACCTAGATTTTAATTACGTAATAAGTGGCACATATCTGATATTAAGAATTCATTGATGATCAAAAATACCTAACTTATTATGTATATGTTTGAACTATTATTGTGCAAATTAAAAAGGCCGAGTATAGCTTGAATGCGAGTTGATTGAATGCGTTGTTTTTCGTTTTGATAAGAAATTTCATTTTATCATACATTAAAAACTTTTTGGTATATGGAATACCAAATAGGATTTTAAGTTTGTCGTATTGGAGAATTTCAGAAATTAGAGTTAAAATTTCTCGACGTGTTTAAATGTAGGTCTAAAAATATTGATATCAAAATTGTTTCATTAAAAAAGCACCTATTTAAATAAAGTTTATGCTGAAGTAAATCTATTCCTTTTCTTGATAAAGAATTAACTTTATTACATATCTGGTATAATTTTTAGTATATTACAATAAGATTACAAAATTAAAATTATTGCAGTCATACAAGATATTTGCTGTAATAATCTTTTTTTTTTGTAAATATTCTAAATATTTTGCATAAAAAATAGTGTGTTATTTAATCACAAAACAAAAATCTTCGATGAACAAAAAGAAAAAGTCCAAAAGGAAATAAAAGATAAATAAATAAATAGAAATAGAAAATAGATAGTAGAAATTATAATACAAAAAAAAAAAACCAATACAATGTTTGTTTAGAAACAATAAATAAAGAATTCAGATCCTGAATCCTTTTATAACCAAGACAGGCGATAATGCCTGTTTTGGTACAGTTTCTTCAGCATTGATATCATTTTGATCTTCGGACATTACAGCGATTACGCCATCGCTACCGCGATGCGTTCTCGTGAACTTTTTATCATTTTGTTGAATATCTTCCGCATTACCGTCTTCTGAATTTTCATCTGATATTCCATTTAATTCATCATTTTGCTGCACTTCTACCAATCTATCAAGTTCTTCAAGCGCTTCTGAAGTGAAATCCACATCAAACAATTCACTAATAAGTCTTCGTGAAGGTAAACGATAATGATATGTTGATAACATTTGAATTGCTTTATAATATGTACTTAGATTAGTAAATACTTCTGGATGCTGTGATCTTATTCTAAATAAAATAGATAAAATGTAAATATAATTAAATTAATAATTTGAATATTAAAATTTATAACTTACTTTGAAAGACTTCGAGAGCCAGCATTTGATAATATTCGATTCGTTAGATTTGCCATTGCTTTAAACAAATTCCTTTCAACCGATGAACATGGTACTATAGGTTTTGATGGTGTATCAAGGGCTGATTCAAAACCCGTGTACTTCCATTTAGGAAACTAGAGAAGTAAAAACATGTTATCAATAATATTACTACTATAATTACTTTTATATTAAAAAAATATGTGCATATACACTTACGGATAGAAATGCTTGAGAATTTACGGGTATACATAAACCAGTTCCTATTCCCGTGTTTGCGTCGTATACACACTCCCATCCAAGATCTTCTAACATTTCAATACCTGATGCTGTTTTTGTTATTAACCCTAAAACAAAATAACATGTCCTATAATCCGCATATTATTAAAGAAAGGTTAATTTAATATCATAATTTAACAACATTGATAGGATTATAATAATTTACCCTTTCAAAGATAGGACTGAGGAATTTTCTGCAATAAACACTATATCCTTAATTATATCTTCTTCCTCTAAAAATTGTAATCCACTCTTCGATGACCCAATATTTCCCTAGATTATAGAATTCACATTAAATATAAAACTGGACGACAACATACATTTAACTTCATATTAATTCTACTTACCACAGTCCAAAGAACCGACTTGAGTTTTGCTATACCGGATGCGTCACGCGATTCTAATTTGTGCGCTCTCACAAACTTTGCGAACTCGCGAAAATGTCCTTTTTCTCTTAATAATTGACAACCTTCGTTAGTTTTCGCAAGTTCACCATAGAAATGAGGAGGCGATATTCCATCAAATGGTTGCCTATTTAATGTTCATAAAAAAACCAATAAGCTCATATATCTACTACATTAATATGTTTATTGTTTTAAAATCATACTCTAACATTTTGTCATCATCATCGAAACGGTTATCACCTCCACCAAGTTTTAACGCTGTTGACAACATAACTTCCAATTGAGTAACATAATATTGATTCCGACTCTATAAATACAAAGATATGCGGTTATTAGAAATTATAAGTAGCATTATGTATCATATAAATTTAAAATTTACTTGGAACCACTCATCCATTTCTCTTTCGACATAATCGAATTCAGAAAGGTATTTGAATCCTATTGAAGTAGACAGAAATCTTAACAACAAAGGATTTCCTACTTCTCCTAAATGATCCAGGCTCGGTCGAAGCATAACTAGCGATTCGATATTTTCCTTGTGATTACAAGTTTCTTCAAGAACACGAACCGCCATTTGACACACTTCCATAGCGGGATCGTATAACTAAATATGTTAATAAAAAATTAAATAACTATAAGGTTAAATTATTAATCGGAAATTTATTACAAACCTGGGTAATAAGTAGTTGTATTCCCCATTCATTAAATTTTTTCGACGACGTCCTTAAAATCAGACCCAAATGCTTTGTCGCATATAACCTTACACGCTATATAATTTGACAACATAATAAATTTAGTAAGATGGAGGTATAAATTTGCAACTTTAATAAAAAAGGTAATGCTTTCTTTTTCTTTGAAAAGAAAAAGGAATGGAAAAAAAAATAAATAAAAAAAAAAATTTTTTTTTGGTAAAGATAATGAGAATAACCAGACTCGATATGTATCAAATTTATAAATTAATCACCTTGTAACCTGATGTCATCACTTTGGAAAGAAGAATGCGTGGATGCCCATCTCTAATTAGGTAAAATTGATTATGTTGAGTATTTACAAGAAAACTAATATTATTTTTTTATAAAATTATTTTTTGGAACAACATACAGACTATAATCTAGATTCGTAATAATAGCTTTAATCAAGTCTTCGCGACTTCTTAGTTCACTTAAATGATAAAACGTGTTGAAAATTTTGAACTTTTCCAATAATCTTATAGGGACAAGATATATAGAATCATTAGCAAAATAAATGATTTAACAAAATACAGGTATATGGGTATGTATGTAAGAAACAAACCTAACACCTTCTTTATATTTGCTAAAATACCCTAAGATGGTGAAATATCCAGATGTAAGTGTGTTATTTATTCGTTCTTTAGAAAACAATGGCTCGGATTCAGAAGTTCCATTAATCTTGGTAAAGATAATTATTAATAAATTAATATGGTATTACATAAATCTTTCAGTCATAATAGACATTACATACGGGATCAAGCTGGTTTAGACCATCTGCGATCTGTCTCAAGAACTTGTTACTCTCTAAATATCTTACACCATCACTACATGCTAATAATGTAGATACAAGAGTGCATCCCAATGTTACAAATATTTCGTTTTCCTATTTATATAAGAACACAGCTCAAAACATTATTTTCTTAATTATGATTTAATCAAAGGAGAAATAAAATAATTACGGAGGTCTTTTCAATTTCTGAGAACCTTCGACTAGTTGGCCGGAAAAATCCAATTAGACGTTTTACAAACTTGGATCTAATAGCTTCTTCTAATCTTCGTGGATTAAGTAATGGACCTTGCAACAATTCCATCATAGTTTCAAAGTCCCATTTTTTACCATCTTTTGTGCTTAAGACCTATAAAATTCTCAAGTCAGAAATTAATGGGTAAATATTAAACATCATTACCTTTAGAAATTTCCACAAACCTGAGACTCCATTAGCAAACTCACAAAATGCTTATCATCAATTTGCATACCCATCTTAATCTTTACATTTTCAACCTGTCGAGCATTACGACTTCGAGGGTTAAGCGATGAATCGTTATCTACACTATTGATTTGTAACCGATTTCGTGTTCTATTTAAATTATCGATATGTGAGAGAGCAGCAGTAGCACTATGCCGTACGATCTCATCATCAAATTTTGTCGCTAAACTAAAAAGTCTCGGTAGAGACTGAATTTCAATTAATTTTGATAAACTAAAAATAATGAATGTTGTAACTTTTAAACATAAAACATCTTACTTGAATTCGTATTGAACGAGACACTGATAATAATCTATTTGACAATTGAAGAATTTCTCCAATAAAAAGTGTAGCTTTGCGAGCAACATGTTGATTCTTATCCTCAATAATTTCAACAAGTGCCTTTAATTTTACAAAAAAAAAAAACTCTATTCAAAATTTTTTACAAAATATTTAGCATTAAGACAATTCAATAATTATTACATACATCAAGAAGTCCAGAATCCATAAATATATCAAGTAAGACTACCAAATGATGGTCCAATAAGTTTAATCTGTCATGAACATTTATAGATGAGGGTGGTGGCTCGCCAATATTATTATCTTTTTGTTCAGGATTACCATATACTATAATAATAATTATTTAGTATTCCAAAATTAAGACTTAAATACTTAATCATGTCCTATAAATAAATCATTTAGACGATCAAATGTATTACAATAAAAAATTTTTATTAAAAAAAATGGTTTACCAGTTATCCTTTTTCCAGATAAAAAATTAGGATACCAATTTGGAGCCTTTATCCTGAAAATGTCGAAAAACATATCAAGCATGATTTCCTATGGATTATAAAAAATTCTATCGGATAAGAGATCTTGGTCATAAATAGCCCGATATTTTAACAGATAATAATAATAAAATTTTCATGTAAACCATACACCTACTGACCCTCGTTTCATCCGAAGTTATCCTGAGCGATTCCACGATAGATTTTATTGCTTGCTTATTGTCTCTACAAAGATATATAATCCCCGTCCATGATTTTAATAACACAGAGATTGCTCTAGAACTTGCTCTAACCTGCTGTTCAAATTTAGATCCTTTATTACAAGCATCCGTGAACCCGGAAAGTACAATCTAGCCATTATTTAATTTATCCGTTAAATGACTTTGGGTAAATTGTAATCACTTTTTCCTTCAAAGTTTATATCCTAACCTCTAAATCAACTCCAGGTCTAATGCACTCTCTAGAATCCGGGGTATCTATCACATATAATAAAGCCATTATCAAATATTCAGCAAGTTCTACAGGTCCATCAATTAAAGCTTGAAGAAGTACTCTCATCCCACCACAACTTGTAACAATTTTTGGCTCACGAATCACTGAAAATATTACATACTTGTGTAAATATAAAATTATCCAAGGAAAAAAAAATTATTATTAATTGAATTAATCATGATTTTTATTCATACTTATTTCAGCCAGAGTCTCTAGACATATATTTCTTAATTTCTCATCAGGCTGTTCGGCAATTGACACAATCGCTCGCATAACACCAAGAGGTATTAATTTAGTACCACCAGGTACATCTGAAAAAGTTCGCAAAAGTTTTAAAACTTGTTCTCTCTCATCATTGAATAATTTTGGATCTTTCGCTAAGGACCTATAATATTACCAAAAATTTTAGTTAATTTTAATTTAAAAAAAAAACAAAAAAATTTAATAGTAATTTACCTCATAATAAATATATCGTAATGTAAATCTGTAATTTGTTTTAATGTTTCAGTATCCGCAATTAAATACCTCAATGCTCGATATCCAGCAATCCTAACTTCCTTTACTGGATCCGATACACAAAATCTCAATCTGATCGGAAACACATTACAAGTGGAATATGAGTTATTTCGAAGTAAGAAATTATTATGAATTATTTAACACATACCCGTATAAAAAAGGTTTAGCTGGATATGTATATTTTAATCTTTCATGGTTTTTAATTAGTCGTACCAAACTATTTAGTTTATCGACTCGCGTTGCAGATTCTTCGTTTCGATCTTTAATACAAGCCAGAACATCTTGTATTATCTCCGCAGGTGTTCGATTTTTATCTAATTCATTTAAAATGTTCATGTAAAAAACAACAATCACGTCATAGGTAATTAGTCAATTAATTAACATTAAAGGTTTAAATTATTTTAAATAAGAAATAAAAACCTTCGTCTCGTTCAACATCGGATTCTATTTGTCTTATTAAATTCTTTCTGACACGAGGAGATGCCGCTAGGCGACGCCGATATGACTTCATGCTCATACTCCCTAACGCAATGCGTCAAATTAAATATAGTTAATACGAAAAGTATTGTTATTAAACAAAAAAAAAATGATTTAATTGACCAAAAAAAGTAATAAATATACCTTCAACTTCAGTCATAATTTCCAGTCTGTGCTTTTGCCTCTACATTAAAAATTTTAGGTTAATAATATTAAAGTAATTAAATAAATGTTAGCTATAAAGTATTTGTATAAGAAAAAACTCACTTCATAAGTAACTTTAATACTAACGTGAATTATAAAAAAAAATAATTATATAAGATAATCGATGATTCTTGATTACGGGAAAGTCCAACTTGTTGAATATAGAATATATAAAATTTTTAGACGTCGCACATTGTGCGCTCGCCCAAATCAGATGGTTTGATCAGCCAAAATTTGCTTCAAAATCGGATTGGATCTCAATTCGATCTCAGTCAAACTCCTCATAATTAGATGAAATGTTCACGTGATTAGAAAATGATTTTCGTGGAGAAACGCTGCGAAGCAGTTCGGATAATATTTTAATATCCCTATCCAATAGCTGTGTTAGTCCAAGATCATGCTTCACATATATAAGAATATACCTTTTTTATTATAGTAACCAGACTAACCAGACTATAAAATTTAATATTTATATTCATATGATATTTTATAATCTAAACCATGTAAATACATCAGAAATATTAAAGATGTTTACGCAATAAATAATTTATTTTTATCTTAGTCTAAAAAATGATCCTATTTGCTGCATAGTAAATATCGTGAATTTTAAGCCATAATATTTACAAAATTTAGTTTAAATTTTTCTTTTTATAAATCAAAAAAATAATACATGCGAAATGACGAACGCGTTATTCTCTATGGCTTAAAGAACAAAGACAATAATATAATCATTGTATAATTAATATTCTTCAAATAGTAATAAGTTGGAAATTAAATATTAATCTCTTATGTACAGTAGTATTATTGCTCGATTATTTTTTTATATTATTGATACTTTACATGATCGCTGGATTCCTCGAAACGGATGTATTTTTCACGATTACACCTGAATTTACAATGGGCGTAACCAAAAGGCATAACGTGGATTAGCTTCGGCTGCGATTATTGTGGAACCATTTGAAAATTTAAGAAGCGGCTTCCTGAATTCTTGAATAATAAGCTTCCATTTCTGGTCCTAGCTCGTCTGTTTCATTCCCGTAAAAGAATCATATTACAGAATTATGCATGCTAATTATTATAAAAGGTTAACTTAAACCTTAAAAATGATTTGTCAGCCGATCTGGTGCATTTAGATTTGTACAAGAATTTTATATAAAATAAAGTTCAAAAAAAAAAGAAAGAAAAATTTTCTCGACTTTTGTTTTAATTAAAAAGAATGAAACCCCAGAAAATATAGCATATAACAATAAAGGCTTTAAATTATTTAAATTGTAACCACTGAAAGTTAAAATATCATGAGCAGACGTAGACAGCGCAGGAAGCGACATGATGACTCAACAAGTGATACTGGAACTGATGTAACTGATATAGCCGATTTAGCAATCACTACGTCAAGGAACGATTCATCTAGACGATCATCCGAATCTTCGCGTAGACGTAAAAATAACAGCACTCCTGAAGCTATCGAAGAAATTGTGAATGAGACATTTTTCCTAAAACATGAACAAAATAGACCTTTTCTTACTAAAAAACGAGTAGTTTTTACTGCGGGTATCATTTTTGGGCTTACAATTGCGTGGTTAATGGGGCAAAGAACAACCGAAATTTCCAATTATATCTCACTTGCTTTTTCGGATTTGGATTTTGCTAGCATATTACCAGCAAATATTCTTGTTGATGAACTTTTGGGCAATATTACTATGTTTCTCAAACCGAATATTACGCTTTTGGAAGATAAAGAATTTTATCCTGCTCTGGACATGCTTGAGAGAGGAGTGAAATCACATTTTCCAGTTGTTTTGGTTCCGGGAATTGTCTCAACCGTAAGCAATTTAATATTAATAAAATATTATTATTATAAATTTTGATTTCATTTTATAATAACTAGGGATTAGAAAGTTGGAGTACGTCAAATTGTTCACGGCCATATTTTCGGAAACGAATGTGGGGAACAACCAGTACGTTAAGTCATTAATAAATCATGAGTTATGATCCTATAATTATAAATTTATTATTTTTATTATTATTTTAATATAGCAATGTTTCGCGCCGTGTTATTGGATAAGGAATGTTGGATAGAAACCATGAGACTTGATCCCGACACCGGTTTAGATCCACCAAATTTTAAATTGCGATCTGCACAAGGTTTGATATTTAAATTGTCAAACGCAAAAGTCTATTTACTAGAATATGATTTATTTGTTTATTTTATTTATTTATTTCAAAGGTCTTGATGCAGCTGATTATTTGTTCCCTGGGTAAGAATATATCTGGTTATTTTTTATTTTTTATTTTTTTATTTTTTTCATCTAAAATTTAATTCAACCATTATTCATTTCATCATAGATATTGGGTGTGGGGTAAATTTATTTATTATTATTTTTTTTTTATAATTGTCATCCTCATCTTTTTCACCCATACATCTATTAGGTAAATTGATACAAAATTTTGCAGCAATTGGTTATGATAATAATAATATGCATCTTGCTGCTTATGATTGGAGACTCTCATTCTATAATCTTGAGGTTAGAGATCAGTATTTTTCTAAGCTTAAAGCGACTCTTGAACTTGCTAAAAAAGTTGATGGAAAGAAAAGTGTGATAGTTAGTCATTCGATGGGTTTGTCATTAGGTTTTTTTTTTAATTATATAAGAAAATTAAATAAAAATAATATTAATTTCAAAAATTCTACAGGAGGATTGGTGACTCTTTATTTTTTTAAATGGGTTGAATCACCTACGGGAGGAAACGGAGGTCCAAATTGGGTGAATGATTATGTAGAAGCATTTGTGAATATAGGTGGACCATTGTTGGGCTTACCTAAAGCTTTGTCAGCATTACTTTCAGGTATTTCGTTGATAAAGTTTTCTGCCTCATGTTCATTTAATAAATATTGTATTTATAATATTTTAGGTGAAATGCGTGACACCGTTGAATTAGGAGCTTTTGGAATTTATGTACTTGAACGTTTTTTCTCAAAGTTAGAACGTGCAGACTTATTTCGTACTTGGGGAGGTCTTTCTTCGATGTTACCTAAAGGTGGGGAAGAAATTTGGGGAAATGAATTCCAGGCACCTGATGATAGTGATGATACACAAGGAACTTACGGTTCCATGTTAACAATGCGATCATTAATTAAAAAGAAAGAGAATCCCAGTGAATCTAGCGATATAGTAAAAGTAAGAAACCACACATGTAAATCTGGTGTACATTTTTTACAAAAGCATACGCCAAATAGATTTAGTGAAATGTTAACAAGAAATTATAGTTTTGGAGTAGTCACTGATGAAGAACAAATGCAAGAGATAAAAGAAGATCGTACCAAATGGACAAATGTGTTGGAATCTCAGTTACCTAATGCGCCTGATATGAAAATATATTGCTTATACGGATATGGGAAAGAAACTGAAAGAAAATATTATTATGCACGTGAACAGCTGGAGGACGAAGATGATGATGATGATGATGATGTTGAAGATGAAAATCAAGAAAAGCGTAAACGCTTCAGGGATAAACTTGGAGGATTTTTAAGAAATGTATTTATTGATAGTTCAGTAAGTTCTGATAAGGATCCTAAGATAAAAAGTGGTGTACATAATGGAGAAGGGTTAGTGCATTATATTATTTAATCTATTTAAGGTTTAAATATTAAGTTTGAATAACATTATTTCTTTAAATAAAAAAATATATATAGAGATGGTACAGTACCATTACTTTCTTTAGGATACATGTGTGTTAAAGGATGGAAAAATCCCTTATATAATCCAGCAGGAATTAAAGTCATTACACGAGAATTTCAACATCAGGTAGGACCACCTTTGGATTTGCGTGGTGGAGAAAATACAGCAGATCATGTTGATATACTTGGAAATTATGAACTCACGGTAAAAAAAAAAATTCTTTTATGTTGGTATCTGTTATTTAGTAACTATCATTATTAATTTCCAAAAATTGTTAATAGAAGGACATATTGAAAATTGCATCTGGAAGTGTTAACGATCTCGAAGATCGTATAACTTCTGCTATTCGAGAATTTGCGGCTAAAGTTAAATTATAAAAGAAAATATATCCATATGTTCTGCTGATTGAAAAAACGCCACTGTGGATATCTAGACAATAATAGAAAAATCTATCGGTGTATACATAGGTATTGATATTGATAATGTTATAACACTTGGCAAATATTTCAATATTTAAAAATATATTTATTTTTTATGAAATGATGATACCATTAATAGTAAAAAGTACATAATATTTTTCAAAGTATATTACGTCTAATTATTAGATTACACCTATTTTTTCTAAAATTTACTTTCTATTTAATACCTTTAAAAATTACAATGAATAAATAGTGTATTGAACTTCCATCTATAAATGATTGAAATATTGTCTTGAATATATTGAGTACCAGCGTCAGTATTTTGATTAAAGTATTTGGATTTAAATACTTTTTTTTTTGATAGAACTCCTTAATTCTTCAGAACGGGCTGTTTTGTAATTATAAAAATCTTTATTTAAAAAAAAATCAATAAATAGGAGGATATTTGTTTGCAAAACAAAAGAAAATCATTGTTTTTGAGTATCTTTAGCCTCAGCCTTTTGATTTAAACAACAAAATGCGGGCATTGAAGCAGATTGATCCCATGGTTTCAGCTTCGTATAGACCTCCTTATATGCTATAGTCATCAAGTTTGATAGAGCAGAATAAACCATTCTTTTTTCAGATGGTTCAGAATCCCACATTTGTGATAAAGTTTTAGAATTTTCACCTGGTCGGTTTATGATCACGGAAGAATGATCTTTACAATATAACATAAAAGAGTTTGGGGGTGTACGATTTGATGATGGTTTTAGAAGGTCTTTAAGAGGTAAATTAGTTTTAAGGATTATACCATGTTCTTCGATCATTTTATTTAAATTTTCGTCGATGGACTTCAATAATTCTGCTGATCGAGACATTTTGTAATAATGAAGATATTTTATGGTAAAGATATTTAAAAGATTAACCACTAGAAATGATGTTTAAATGTTAAATAATATTTTAATCTTTTATCGTGAAAAAAAAAGGTCTAAAATATCGTCATTTTATAGGAATTTCGTAACGCGTTGAACATAATATGTAAATTTATTCATGAATGTTGTGTTTCAAATGGGAACAATGTTTGTTTTAAAACTTTAAATCTTTTAATTTCCAAGCTTGATCGGTTAGTAAAAGTTGGGTAATTGTCTCGAAACGTTATTTCACATCGCAATGAAACACCGTTTGAACTTTATAAAAAAAGAAAATGAATATTTTAAAAAAGGAAATAATAAACCTCATTAAGAAACATTGTTAAGGATATTAGTATTGAGTAGATACGAAAATTTTTTTAATTATTAAAAATCCGATAATTCGCTATAATAAAATGTTTAATTATTTATCGAATTCTGATTGTAATTTATTCAAATTTGGATTGAATTAAGTGAGATGAAACAATTAGAGTATGAAATGATTTACAAATTTGGACTCAACAAGCATGTGTAACATAATCAGGATCGCGTTACGACCTTTTAAATTATATAATTGTTATAACTAATAAATTTGACTGTATCAAGTATAAAAAGAACAATAACTTTAATTCTTGTGTAATACATCAATACAAGTTTTCAAACAACAAAGAGCATTGTGTACAAGGATGGGGGTTAATTAAAGATTTGTACAGTATTACTAATGTAAAATTTGCACAGATCCCGATAAATTCCTGCAAATTCCATGGGAATCCCATCACTAATTGTGCATTGATACCAAATCCGTGATGATTCATTCAGCTTAAAAAGGATTTATAAATGTTTATAAATTTGGTATTTCTTACACCATTCAATCCGCTTTGTAAAGATTCTTATCAACTTCTTTTGTTCTACTTTTTTGACCCTTTATCTAATTTATAAATAATAATTTAATTTTGATGTCTTGGCAACTTTTGTGCTCAGTCATTTGAAAGGTTTCAATTAAGTGCAACAAGCGTGTATAGAGATTTCCGATTTTTTAAAAATTTTTTTATTTCGCTATGGATCATGGGCTTAAATAATGCCACAAATCATTAAGTTACAAATACTTTAACAATAACGATAAAGAGAGAAGAAAATTCAAAAAATGTTGACAATGATCGTGGTCTAATGCGAAAAAGTACCAGACATTCCGGTATGAAAAAAAAATATCTCATTTATTTTTTCTTTTTTGCAGGTAGCCATTTGAATCTCCAGAGAATCTCTATTTGTTCCAGTTTTTAAACAATTGCCCATTCATAATGTTTAGAAATTCACTATTTGACATAGATATATAGATGACATCAGCAATGTTTATTCAATTTATTATACCATACAGTTATTATTATTAAAATTGTAATATTATGTTTTTTATTTTCTTTCGAAAATGATAGAATCACATATATTCTGAGTAATATGACTATACAAAAGATATGTTGACTATAATACTAAATAGAAGGTATTCTTATATAGGGATGGAAACAACCATATTATGAATTTTGATTACATTTGCTAAAACATAAAATATAATAAATATTGTTAATTGTATGTTAGAGTATCCAACATTCGCATATATTTAGTTCGTTTTTCACCGATTCTTCAAAAGAAAAATGTCATTCTCGAGATATGAAGCCGGAAAACATATTATTATCAGGTGATGATAAAAATTTCGGATTTCGGATGGGCAATCAATACACCAGACGCAAGCCAGATACGTAGGACATTCTGTGGTACGCTTAATTACTTACCACATGAAATGATCAAAGACTTGGGTTATGAAAGAATAGATTTGTGGGCGCTTGGAGTGTTGTGTTGTGAATTTTTTGTCGGGGAGCCTCCTTTTATGGTTAAAGACCATGGGAGAAATTGGTCTTGTCGGTTTTTTATGTATATTTATCGGTGAATAATATCGAATAGGTTGAGCGTGATGGCTACATACATCAGGGGAACCAGTAGGAAGTGGCTGCGCTTAAATTCACGCATCTTTTCCATTTCTCTTTTTCTTGACGAATCCTTTCTTTAATTTCTTGTGATTTCCTCTTGGAAATTTCCTCACCAAGTAAACTAAACATTGGTAATTCGATTAACCGGTGTTCAATCACCGGTCTATTTGGTTCTTTATAATCGGGTACGGGATTAGCTTTAATGACATGTGGTGGTGAAGGACTCTTCGTTCTTGGTGGCTTAGGTTTCGTTATGGCCGGTGAATATGGTTCAGTCAGCTTTGGCTTTTGTACTTTTGGCTTTGGCACTATTGGTACGAACACACGTTTCTAATAGACGAGATATATTATTATTATAAACGTGTTAAAGTAATAATATGATAAATATGATAATAATTACTTGTATTCCACCACTCTTTTTAGCTAAATAATTTTTAGTTTGTGGAGTACTTGACGCTACCGACATGACCCGAGTCACCCGACTAACATCTTCCATATATTCAAACTTTTCGGCCACTTCAGGTTTGTCGTACACCTCTCTAAGTGCATTCCCCTTGGGACCATAGTAAAAAAATAGTAGAATGTACACTTAGAGAGGGTGGGCATATATAGAGAGTAAAATATTAAGAGCTCTTATTACCAAAAATCAGTTCAACAAAGATTATTATTTTTTTTTTATTTGAAGAGTGGTTAACAAAGTTACAAAGTTAACAAAGATTATAAAGATTCTTAAAAAGGACTTGTTAATCGCACGCGTATGACGTAAGAATAAACAAGTTTTTAATTGGTCCGTTAATATATAATAAGCTGTGTAACAACACTCTTTTTGCCATAGATCACCTGATTTTTTCATTTCAGGGATGATTAATTTTGGCCGGAATCAAAGAACCATAAATTTCGTCCTAATTTATATTATATATACCTTATTACTGTAATAAACTCTTCTTAAACTTGTTAACACCACCAATCAAAAATTTTTAATTCATGATCCGCCAGTGAACCATAAAATTTGACTATTAAAAGGCGGTGATAAGTTCATATATATTTTTATCAATAATTTAGAATCTGCGATTCTGGAGAAAAAATATGGGATAACTCGCCTTCTATTGGTCATAAAGACATAAAATCATTACCATTAGATGCGTCTCAATGAGACGAATCCGATAAACCAAATTTTATTTTCATACGACCACTAGATGATGAGTTATCTTTAAAATTTTAAAATACTAAATTTTTCTTTTTTTTCAAATTCAAATTTTCAGCTCTTATGAAAGTGTCTTTTGGTGCTTAAAATTTTTACCGGTCTTTTATTATTAAGATAGCCAAATGGCATATTTTTATGCCTATAATATTAGTTTTCATATAATATTTTAGTAATTTGTACCTTGCATTGGCGGAACTGTAGAT